ATTCTCCTATTTAACGTGTACAATTCAATGATTTTTAGATAGTCGCAGTGCTTTGCAACCTTCATCACAATCAATTTTGGAATATTTTCATCACCCCAGAAAGAAACCCCATGCCCATTAGCATTCACTCCCTACCACATTCAATTGGCAACCACTAATCTAGTTCCTGGCTACAGATTTACCTACAGTAGACATTGCATGTCAAAGGAGTTGTATAACACGTTGTCCATTATGCTGGCTTGTTCCAGCATAAAGTGTACCCTCTCCAAAGCTCAGCCACAGTATCAGTACTCCACTACTTTTTATGGTGGAAGAATATTCCATTATATAGATATGCCACATTTTATTTATCCATATAGATAGTTTGTACTTTTTTCCTATTGTGACTAATGCTGATATAAACATTTGTGTATGAGATTTTATGTGGACATGTGTGCTCATTCATCTTGAGTGTGTAACTGTGGAGTTGCTGGGTCAATTACTTGTTTAATCATATGAGAAACAAAAGAGGCTTTATAATTTTAAAGTTTCCTCCAGCAGTGTATGTGGATAGTGAATCTTTTTTTAAAAAATTGTGGTAGAATATATATATATATATATATATATATATATACAATATATGTTTTATATATATATAAAACATAAAATGTACTTTCTTAATCATTCTAAGTGTACAGTTCAAGAGCATTGAACACATTCACATTGTGGTGCAGCCAATCTCCAGAACTCTTCATGTTGCAAAACTGAAACTTTGTATCTGTTAAACAGCACCCCATTTACCCTACCCCCAGTCTCTTGGGGACTCAACTTTCTGTCTCTGTGAGTTTAACTACTCAACATACCTCCTATAAGTGGAACTTTTTGTGATTAGCTTATTTCACTTACTGTAGTGTTCTTAAGATTCATTTATATCATAGTATATGTCAAAATTTCTGTCCTTTGAAGGTGAAATTATATTTCATTGTGTCAGATGACACATTCTATTTATCCATTCATAGGATGGTTCTACCTTTTGGGCATTACCAATCATGCTGCTATGAGAATGGGTTCACAGAGGAGAGTGAATCTTAACTTTTTTATGTATGTGTAAGAAACCTAAGCAGACTGTTATGCATCATCTGAAGACCCATTCCCATAACCTTGATTCCATGTCAGGATGTCTGGGGTGGAGTTTAGAAGTTTTTAAGCATTTTAGGTGTTTCTAATGCAGGGTGTGGCTCCAACCCTAGGAAGTCAGGGCATAGGATCACACCACTTGGGCCTTTGAGTGAAATCTGGTTCACACCTTCTCTCTGCTGTTTCTTTCAATGACTTGCATATCAAAAGTGGGCACAGGGCTGGAGAGGTCACTCAGTGGTACAGTGCTTTCTGGGCATGCATGAGCCCCTGGGTTTGATCTCCAGCAATACACACACACACACACACACACACACACACACACACACACACACACATAAAAAGTTAAGACACAAATTGACTTTGTGCTTCTTCCTTTGCCTAGCTCACACATTTTTCCAAACAAAATCTCTGCAAGCTTCAGTCTGCCTCGTAACACCAAGAAGACCTAAAGCAAAAGAGGTCATCTATAGTATCCCACTGTGCCTGTAATGACTTTTGGAAAGTGCAGGAACCATCGTTTTAGAAACAGTCATAAGGAAGCCTAAAGCAGAGATATGCCAGACCACAGAGCAATGCTCATCCAACTCAGAATCAATGTCATCTCTGCCAGAGAGATTTTTAGGAAGGTTATGATACAGGAGGAGCAAGAAAGGATGATCAGAGTTTCCATAATTGAGCTGAATGAAAGTGTTCACTGATGAGTTGATGAAGACATATGTGTGCTGAAATTATTACTAGCAGATGATGTAGTCAGGGACAGGTGTCCAAGGCTGGAAGCTAAATCAGTAACCTATTTACCAGGAGATCTTTGATGGACTGACAGCCAGCTGGCTATGTGACCTTGGGCTACTTATTTGATCTTGCTGAACCATACTTCCCAACCCTGTAAATTGGAAGTAATCTTCAGAGTTTTATAAGCCTCTGTTTCGGAAGCATCATTGAATGATGTGCTAGCTTGCCATTAATGTTAGTATTTACGAATGGAGGGTAAAGATTTCTGAGAAACTCCTAGAAAGCTTATGTTACTATTTGTTAAACTTGAAATACTGAGATACTGACTGGAAGAGACAATATCCATGAAATCCAACAAATTAGTTGAAGAAGAAAGACTGGAGTGTTTGGATTTGTGGTCATGATTTAGGCCATGCATCTCAAACACTCATGCAAACAACTTAGGTATGGGGCATGAATGGCCTCCCACATAAGTGACTAAAAGAAGACTCTGATTCACCTGTGAAAAGAATTGTGAACTGCATGGTAAACTCCTATTTTCCCTGAATCTAAACAACTGAATGATGAATATAGATTGTAAATTTAATGCTGATATGTTTTTAATATTTCAATCTATGAACAACTTATGCTATTGGTCAGTGAGAAACACTCTCATTTCCAGAAACTTTTATAACTATAATTCTGTACTTCTGAAGAGAGACAGCTGTCATAATGACTAGCTTCATAGATCATCTTAAGTAGTACAAGATACAGAGAACCTTTTAAATGATTAAGAAAGATTGTTTCATTTGGTGCACTGACAGTGTTAAATCTATTTAATCATGTTCTAATTGTTTAAATTGGTGAAAATTCATAATGTACTTTGCAATTATTAATTAAGGTAGAACTTAAAATTTAAATGGAACCAAACAGTAGCTGACTTATGGAGGGTATCTGGAGAAGCGGGAGTTAATCCTTTCACATTTCAGCTCTGCCGCTTTCCAGCTGAGCTAGGAAAGGTTTTAACAAATTGCCTAGCCATTTGTTTTCCTTCATTTCCTTATCAGTAAATTGGAGGAAATAAGTGCTTTGGATAGTATCTACAAGGCAGTGGTCACTCAATCAATGTTGTTTTATTATTACCATTGTTGTTATTGTTTCAGTTTGCTTGGAACTTGAGCTCACATTTTCTTATTTTAGTCTCATAATAACCCTGTAACATAGGTAAGGCAAGTGTCATTAATAAAACAAGTAGAGATCAAAAATGTGACTTGCTCATAGTCTCAAAGGGAGGAAGTGTTGGGATTGGGAGTACCAAAATGTTTGGGCTGATAATCAAGACTTGTTACCATCTCCTGCTCAAGCATACTGGGGAAATGTGTGTCATTCTCTTCCTTGGACACATTAGTACTGGGAAAATCACAAGAAGGATGCAAATAGTTCTGAAACCTAAGCAACAAAGATATTGCTTAGATCCATACTTGCCCTCCTCCAAATCTAGGTGCCGTTGTTGAAAGGTGAATGTTCTAGCCCAATTGTACAAACATTAGCTAAGAGAGCTCGGTTGATACCAGACGGCTATATCCACAGATAAAGAAGGGCATAACAAATAGAACTGCATAATCATTCACCAAAGAGACAAAATGAAAGAGAGAAGCCAAAGACAATTTGATATATCCACTTCTATTTTATAGAACCTGGGTCTACTCATTTTTTCAGCCCAAATCCTGCCAAATATTCATTTGTATTTTAACAATAGAGTAACTAGTGAAATTCAAGCTCCTTTTAGTCATCTAATCAAATATTATCATAATTAGAAATTTTAACTCATGCAAATTGTTTTATTTTTCTGTCCTGCTCTATGCTAGTTAATAAAATAAATATTTCTGGGTTATCTGAGAGATTTTGACACAGATGCAAAGTATCAGTCTGTTCTTTCTCCCTTTAGTCCCAAGAGCTGGAATGAAATCACCTGATTTAATCATTTGGAATCCATGTGGCTCCTCTGAGATAGGGCCAGATGTAACCAGAGGATTTATAGGGTGTAAAATTCAGAGTGGATTAGAAAGCCTTTCTGTGTTCAGCCCAATACATCCTAAATCAACATTCCCTGAATGGACCAGAGCAATCTCTGTCTGGCCTAGTGGGGAAGTTGTCATGGCAACTGACTGGCAAGCTCCGCCAGTGGAACATGAATGCAAACAATGGAGTGATAAGACTGTTTAAAGCAGCATACTAAGGCTGTTTCTACCCAGGTACAGTGACATGTCAAAGAGTGAAGCTCTCCTTGCGTTTTTGTACCTTCATACAATTTTCACTACTAATTTGAAATTTATCAAGTGTCCTTTCCAAGTGATTGGTTTAAAACCATTGCTACTGATAGATAACTGAACCTGTGAAAACACCACTGCCCAGCAGATAGATGTGACGCTGTGTACAAAGCCCTGGAGCACTGTTGGGCTAGCTATTCAAAAATTTCCTAAAGGAGATTGAAGCAAGCTTAAGGTAAATCCTATGACTCTTTAGTGCCACCTTGTGTCCTAGTAGATACTGGGCATTTCCTGGAAGCCACCCTCAACCCCATCACTGGAGAGCAGCAGGGCAGGCGTGGAAAAAGTTAGATCTGAATTATGTTAGAACTTGGCAGTCACTTTCCCAACAGAATATGCAACAAAGATATTTTCTAAACCTCAGGCTGATTAAAAATAAAAATGAATATCTTTGGTAGAATGTGGATATGGGAAAAAGGAAATGCCAAATAATGCCTGTTTTAGAAAAGGTTGGAGGCGGCCACATGTGGGCCAGGGTTGTGAGGAAGAGATAGCCAAGACAGACTCAGTGTATAGGATTCTTAATGATGCCATTACTAACTCTTGGAAAAGAATACTTCTTAAAGTCTATTCAGCTATCTCTGGTAGCATGAATGTATCAGTGGGGAAAAATAAAATACTCTAATTCTATATCATAACTCTTTTATTCATGGTCTTTGGGTAGCAGGATGGTAGTTTGGCTGAAATGATGCTCATGTCCACTTGTCATCTCTTACCCAGATCAAACCCACCCCCACTACTGCCCCACCATCACTTTTTCACAATTCAAAATTATAATCTAATCCCATTTAATTTCAGAAATGTAAATGACCAAGCTGTGTTCCTGTGTGTTTCCTCCAGGGTTTGAGTTTTTTGAAACAAGTGCCAAGGATAACATTAATGTCAAGCAAACATTTGAGCGCCTCGTGGATATCATCTGTGACAAAATGTCAGAGAGTTTGGAGACCGATCCAGCCATCACTGCCGCAAAGCAGAACACAAGACTCAAGGAAACCCCTCCTCCTCCGCAGCCCAACTGTGGCTGTTAGTGCCCCTCGCACACAGGCAGCTCCAGGGGGCTCTGGTTGCCAAGAAACAGCATTCATAAATGGTCTATTAGCCTTCACTTATACTGCCTAATAATTATTTGAAGGAAGTCTTTGATGTCAATGGCCCGTTCATGCATTCAAATCTCGGGAGATTTACTGTGTTAATATATGGCAAATATGTGATCTTAAATTTGTAAGGACTATTCATCTATAAACATCTGGTACCTGCATGTGACTTGTTATTTACTTGTCTTCAAGTTTCATTTCTTTTTGTTTTTTTTTTTCAAATTTCTTCTCAGTTAAGCTACTGCTGGGATTTCAGACTACCATTTTATTACCATCTGACTTTCGTGCCATGGATTCAAACTATGCTACTCACTTGTAGAGATGATGAACAAGGAGTTGCTTGAATGTGTATGTGTGAGCAGGGCGAGATGGCAGGGGACTTAATTTGCTTTCCTCTTAACTGAAAATCAAGTGAAAATTTTACTCTTTAGGGACAATGTCACAGGTCAATGTCACGAGAAACAATGTATCTATTTTTCATTCATAATGGAGGAGGCCATTGACTATAAGTAAATTGAAATATTGTTTTTAAGGCCATTACTAAGCCATTACTATTAACGTGACTGGAACCAGATTTAAACAGTTTTATCAATTTACATATTTAAATAAGCATATATCCTTCCCCAGGACGGCTCTTTCCACTAATTCTACCCAACTTTCTGAATATTTAGGAGCACTGAGCAGATGAAAAGGTATCTACTGGAAGCCAGTTATGCAGTAAGTGTTTTAACCAAGAAGAGTGTGAGTAGCTATAGAATTCCAAGGCCTGAGCTCCCCTACTTCCTTAGAGGCTTGCTCCCCACCACACATTCCTGTACTACCACCACCACCACCACAACTCTCTGGAACCATCAACATTTGGAGTAGAAGTTAGGTTGAACCTTGTTAGTGCTCCTATTCCTGTAGGATATAGAGTTGCTTCCCCAATCGTTGCCTTCTGCTCAGACCTCAGCTATGTTCTTCTATCTATATAGAAGCTGTTGAGTAGCGTTTCAATGGGTCCTAAGTTGAGGAAGGACTGATTTCCTCTTGACTGTTTTTTAATCTGGGTGTTTGTAATTCTAAAGCATACCCCCATTGTGTAAGTCTTTAAACATGCTTACTTTGCTTAGAGAACACTCTGTAGCTGAAAGTTCCAGGAAACTTTTGGATCTACAGCAATTTGAAAAAGGAAAGAAATCATTTGAACATCCAGACTTTTACCCCAGATTTTCTGAAACCAATGTATAAATTACAGACAACAGATTCCAGTGTTGTGTGGAACCCTGTTGAGGAACTTGGCATTGTGTCAAAGTCCAGTACTATTTACAGTTAGGAATTGGGGAGGGCAGGGATCAGTGCTTGACAGATTCTGAAAGACACTTCCATTAGGTTGACTTTCTCTTTTTTAGGGGGTTGTGTTAAGGATTTTTTAAAATCTTTTTTTCAAAAACAGAGAAATGAAAATATTGGGTGCAGATTTATTGGTTAAGGGTACTGATAGGAAAATATGCATGTATCGAAAGATATCTCTGGAGAATAAATGCCTACAAGTCAGGGAACTAAGTCACACACATTATCAGTAACTTAAAAGGTAAAAAATAATGGAAAAGAGCATTTGGGGTTTTATCCATGCTCTTTTTTTTAATCTTTCTTGGTTTCAGTTCCACTAATTGGTAATAAATTTCCACTCTCACATTCTGTAAGAGTGAAGACAAGAAAACATTAATATTTTATTAGATTTTAATGGGGAAGCCTAAAGCAAGTGTTCACTTACACAGTGTCAAACATTCCAAAGTTGGAACACTGTCCCAGTCAGGAGAGAGCAATGCAATAGTACCCCTGGTGTTCTTGCCAAGGTTTATCCCACAATTTCTATCTTCGAAACCCTAATGGAAGTGAAGAGTTCTGCATTTATTCTTAATTCTGTAATTGCCACCCTGTTGTGAATTTCATTGCAAATAATTCAATGAAAATTTTCTACAAAAAAATGTTACAGAACTCAAAAAAGGAATACCCATATCCCTGCTGTAACACATGCCAAGAGGAGTGAATATTCTCTATTCCTAATCTCATCAAGATATCCTGGTTTTTAAAATCAAATTTGGCAGATAGAACAACAACCCAGGGTTAACTTGGTGAGCTTCTATTGATATCAAGCTATACTGTTTATTATTATAGTTCTATAGTGGTTTTTCAACCATTTGGCCACTACACATATGTACACACATACTCACATGCTATACCTACATCTGCCAACAGCCCAAATATCTACAAGTCATTTTTACCAATGCCTAATCAAATTTTTACCTTGCATAATTAAATTTATACTTAAAAGAACAGGGCATCTTTAAAAGTATGCACTTGTGTTAGTTTGTAAACCTTAGACATCTTCTCTTTTCATCTTTGAGGCAATTAAATTAGTATTTCAAGTCTAAATTTCTCTTCCTTTGTTCATCACTTGGCCATTCTCCACACCTCAAAATACAGTTAGGAATAACTCTCAATTGCTTCAGGAAGATGTGCTTCTAAGAGCATTGGTGTTGTACATCCCTTTATTTTCCTAATACAGTTAAGAAATTGGACTGGAAATTATTTCATTTAAAATTAACCATCCCTGGAGTGAATCTGCATTTCAGCCTTTCAGAAGATGAATGGAAGGTGTAGGAGGTTTCCTAAGTCCTGTGATGCTGTTTAACCATTAGCATCACATCTACAGACTGATTAGAATTACTTCAGGATGGTGAGTCAGTTCCTGGAGGCTACCACCACCCCTATGGACAACTACTACTGGCCTGATGAACTTCTAATGATTAAAAGACATAACTCCTCCTTAGGGTCAGTTGAGAGTCAATATTCCTTTGATGCCTAGTATATAAGTTCTAGGATTTTTATTTGGAAAACAAACTTTGATGATGCCCTTCAGTTTTATCAGAAAGGTGCAGCATGTGATGATATATGTGAAATATAAATTACAAAATTACAACTTACACAATTTAAGACAAATATATATTTCACCTAATTAATGCCTACCCAGATTAATTATATACATTTTGTTGATTTAGCACATTAGATATTTTTTATGTGACAGATTAAACTTGCAATTTTAACTACACTATGATGACAGATTTTCAGGTATACAGTTCTTTTTTTTTAAAGGTAATGCATTCCACTATTAACTAAACTTTCATAAAACAACATTAATATTGGACTGTCATAGTTGATAATCAGTGGTTCATTGTGATCTGCTTTATCCAACATCTATCTTAGTGCATGGTTGAGGATGTCCTACAATCTTAATTTACTGTGTGGCATTTGTGGGACTGTAACAGCAATGTATCCACCCTACCAAGCAGTAGCAAGCTGAGGTAGCAGCTGCATGAGAAAAACTGTGATGTACATCTTCATTTAAAGTCATGACTGAAATCTTTCTAGACCAAAAATTAGTGTGTTTGTTAATAATCCTCATAGTACAGTTAGAGTGTTCAATCAGGTATTTTTAGGGAAACAGACTTGGGAGCTGGCCTGTCTAAGGAGCCCTTTGTCTCTCAGTCACTGATTGCGTGACAGGAACTCTGTTCCTTTGTGTGTACACTCACTCAGTGTGCTCTGTCAGGGTGCCACATGAGCAGCTAGACCCAGGTGATCTTTCTAATCATGCCCAGAAAAATGATCTACTGCTCTGCTCAGCTCTGCCTATTTGAGAGTCCTACCTGTGCATTAGTAGTTTGGTAGTAATGATGAAATCTTGCTGATATACTAAGCCTTTTAACATCAGTGTCAACTTTTTCAAGTTCTTTACATTTTAGATGAAATTTTGACCAAAGTCTGTTACAGATATAAACCTGTTTTATACCCTAGAATTCGCTGGAACAAATTAGGCAAAAGATAGTGTTTATGACCATAATCTTCCCCTCATCTTAATTATCTTCACCCCTACACTCACCCCTACACTACTCCTAAAGGGCTCAAGGTACTAGAAATACAGTATTCCTTAAGGAGGCAAAAACAGGTTGGGAAATTTATCTAAAATGTAGCTACTTATCATTATTGGTATTTCATAAATAAATGTATTTTTAAATATTTCTACAAATGCTTGAGACTCTAGCCAAATGATATTTCCCTTTGGTAGATTGAAATAGTTTCTCCTGGGCTACACACATTGCTGCCCCTCCCAACACACACTTACAACCCTGATACTTTTTTAGCGAAGGGAAAATTCCATCCATGGTGCTTTCTGAGTGCTAGGGGAAAAGTGGGTGTTTGCTAAGTGCCAACTGTAGCTCACATCTTGTTTTTAAAGGCCCATGAAACAGATCCTTCACACTGATTTGATGAGTCTGTGTGTCCTTGTGAAGAAAGAATTCCCATTAAACAGAGGGTGGAGAGAGAATGCTTTCGGCAAACATTCTAGTAACAGAAATGAATTCTTTCAAAAATCCCACAGATAGCTTGGGTTGTCAGATCAGATCATCTAGAACCTTTTTATTCACGTTTTTATTTTGTACTTCCTGATTTGTGTTTGTTTCAGGGTTTTAAAAGCATTATCCTCAGAGACTGAGAGGACTAAGAATAGTAAGTGAGACTCAGATTTCACCATCTATCTCCTATCTGCAGCTGTTATTGGTGGAGTTTCAACCAGTCATTACTAGCTAAACTGAGACTGGGGGGTTACCTGTGTATTTCATTCATCTGTGTTTGTAATTTCATTGTGGACAATTGAGAGTTGGCTGTAACTATTGCTTAATGGATATATTTTTATATTAATGTTATTTGGGGCCAAGGATCACTTAAAGTTCATGAGTGCTATTCTTATAGACACAAATGGTACATGAGCCACATAGACACCTGGCCTTTCAGGGACGTGAGCATGACTTACATCTGACTAGTGATTCCATATTCCTCCTTGTCAAAGTGAAGTTTGGGGATGTTTGCTGTGTCAATATGACGATTCTCATGCATTGTCTCATCATCCATAGGCAGTGTGCTGAATGAAGACTGTCCTGTAATTCCTGTGATATATTGTTAATGTCAGATGTGATGTGATACAGTTGGACTGTCCAAATGTACAACTATTTAATGGTGTTTGTAGAACTGAAATGTCTTAAATGTTGCATGAAATATGTTCTAAAAATAGATTTGTTTTCTATTTTTCAACACCTCAGAATTGAGGGTTCATGGGCCAATAAGTGCAATATTTAATGACTTACTCAGTGTATATAAACTAGTGTGCAAAAGTGAATTCTAATGAATGTGTGAGATGCTTTGATGGCTGTATGCTTATTCAAATGATTTCTTGTAGCAGTATTTGTCTAGTGGTGCAATTTATACAGTAAATATCTTATTGGTGTCATGTGAAACTCCTCTGTGCCTACTTCAAAGTACTTCTTTTCCTATAAGACCAAATGTTTAGTATCTGCAAATACATGTCAATTTTACCTTTTGGAACTGTGGATTTTATTTTCAAAACAGAATAATTTTGAGTTTATTTTATAAAAGCATTCCTTTGATAATCCAGAATTCTTCTTAAGCCTCTTGTAAGAGTGTATTAAGCAACTAATTTAGATACTATGGGGAAATATGTGCATAAAGAAGTGACTATTTCTCTTTTCAGAAAGGTTGATCACCTGTCATGTCTACTAAGAATTTTCACTCTTGAATTTGTATGTATGTTTTATTGTTACTCAACATTTTACTTTGTTTACAACTTGGATACTGTCAACTCTGGGAACTCTTAACACACCACTGTCTTTTTAGATTATAGCTGATGTTATATTCACTTTCAATTCTCAGTTGTCCACATTGGTGATATAGGAGAAATGCCAGTATCCTTATATCACTTTGGTATGTCTTCATGAACTCATATATTAATCCTCATACCCCCTTGGTTAATCCCAAATTTGGTGGCCTGAAACTTCACAGAGACATAAAATTAAGAAATTAAGCTCAGTTGCTGGATTACTAAAAGCTACAAATATTTATGTATATGAATGTTAATTTAGATCAACAACTTTAAACTCTTAGTTGCCATTTCAATTTTTAAGGTAATGCCTCTTTTTAATATTGTACTTTTTTTTCTCATTTAGTTAGCTGGGTAAACCATGATATCCTTAGGAATAAAAATAAGTTACAACTTACTCATTAAACAATAATGGAGTACAGTTGGTTCTAGATGGTCATGTCTGTCCATACATGTTAAAAAGGCTTCTGTTCTCCCTATATCACTTGACTAGGAACTGACAGGTGAGGATGTGTCAGTCACATTAAATGGCTTTGGACTATGTGGTCAATATGTGGACTGAACTTAACTGTGATTGAAAGTTGCATTTAGCTCTCAAAACCCACTAAAAAAAAAAATCAAATAAACATGGGCAAAACAGGGAAACCAATGTTGTCTTTGTGCCAAATTTTAAAAATAAAGAGAAAAAAGAAAAGTGTTTTAGCCAACAATAGAATGAAAATTTAAAGGTGTGGTTTAAAGTGTCATTTGTTGTCACGTGTTATTAAATGCCACATACTCAGTACTGTAGGAATCAACCATGGAAGAGGTATGGCTCCTGTCCCTAATGAGAATGAGGAGAAAAAAGTGCAAGATATAATCTAAGTGCTCAGTTATGTCAAGAGCACAGAGAATGGGGACCTTAAGGAACTGGAAGAGTCAAGAGTAGCTTCATGGAGGAGGTCAGATATGATCCCAGAAAAAGAAATTAAATAGTGAGGAGATTGTGCCAGGCTACTGAGTGGCAAAGACCATAGTATAGTCCCTTTGAACGGAAGTGTGGCAGAGCTGGCAGCTATAGATGATTGTTTTCTTCAAAGTGACCCTTTGAAAAACCTCAAGTGACCCCAGTTTAGCTCCTTGTCTTTCTGTCTCCATGAGGAAGACAAAAATGTCCTTTCCCATATTCCTCTGTCCGGAACAGCCTCACGCTCAGCCACAAAATCCAAGTTGCTTTAAAGCCACATTAGAATCATTAATTTAGACATTTGCCAAAGCCCAGAACCATGAGACATTGTTTAACCTAATGTCACCCAGGCAGATGTGACCCAGAGATTTTTCTGTAGCTCCATGTTTCCTGTAAAAGGAATTGAGAAATGCACAGATTAAAAACCCTCCTTTGTACACGGGCACTTTTGGCTCCTTCGCAGTGACTGCACTGTGGAACTCTTCTTGAGAAAATAGTGACAACAGCTTAACGCTTTCGTATAGTGATCGTGATGTTTAGTTGAAAACTACTGCTGCATAGCAAATATTGTGACTTCATGTGTCCACAGGAGCGCTTGTCTGGGTTTAAAGCTATAAAGTGTATTCACATTGTGAAGTTTTAATTATCTTTATTGAAATTAATTGTGTAAAAAATGGTATGTGCTCTATTAGGTATTCAGTTTGTATGTGAATTCTGTGTGGAAAGTGGTTTTTGTTCTTTGAGTTTATCTTGTTTTATTTTTTGAAAACTACAATAAATATCTAAGAGACTATATTCCTGCATTTCTCAGCTTCAGTTGGATTAATTTTTTTTTTATCTCCTTCAATGCATGTTATTTTTGGTCTGCGGATGCCTATTTTCACTTCATCAGCAGCCTAGGTACAACATAAAGCTTGAACTAGAGACAGAAATAGTACACTTTCATTTAGGGCTCTGAGTATCCAATATGTGAATTTGGAAGGAGGTGTAAGAGGAATGTCCAATACTTGCAACCTTGGAAGGTGGGTAACTTTTGATGTGACCTGACTATGTTCTAGAGTTACAAAGGCCTTGTTGGTAGAATCGAGAAGAGCTTCAAAGAGTATTAAAAAGTCATCTTGGCTACCTGAAGATTGCATGTTCCTATTCCAGAAGTCTGATGATAACTTTGCAACCTATTGGCACAATCTAGAAGAGGAGCAGTCACCAGGAGCAACGCAAGGATGAGATGAATGGGCACACACCACTTAATGCATGGCACTTGATGCAGTGATAAACAGGACGCAATGTCCTTGATCATAGACCTCAGGACAGTTACCAATCCAGTCACACCACAACAGACCCACTAGTACTTTTGAGATACCTGAGGGTCCACTTCTGTCTGGCTCTGGCCTTTGAATAGCTCCCAGGCACACTCTACCTCTTCTATTATTTATCCTTCAACTTTACACCCCCTACTCACTCACCTAGTCCAAAGAATCTTTAGTCTGGCAGAAACTAACTCTTCATCTTTTCCTCCTAATTGGTTATTAATCCCCTCTATCCTTTACATACGATTTTTAATTGAATTCACAAACAACTTCAACTATTAGTTATATATATTCTCTATGCAATGCATTACTTCTCTATTAAAGCAATTTTGCTAACTAAATGGAAGGAATGCAAAGGGTATGGGAAATACATGGAAGGTGGATGTTAGAGGAAAATCTGGGTTAATATTTCAAAACAACAACCTACCAATTACAATATAATTTGATTACTGCAGATAGAGGTTAAACACAAGCTTCTGTGTTTATGATGATAATTGAAATTCTGGGAGTGGAGAAAGTGGTACACAGGAGACTGTTTCACATAATAAAAGAGCCAACTAGGAGCTAGGGTGCTGTTCATGTGTAGGTGTCTGAGGAAGGCAAACTCTCACAGGAGCCTTGAAAATGGAATAGCACTGTGGTATGACTATGGTGGGTCCCCTTTGAAACTCATGTTGTGAGGCATTAAAAAGATGAAAACTTAATTCAGCTATGCTATTCAGAGATGGAACCTTTGGGGGTGACTTTGATTACACTAGATCATGAGCCTGGAGTCCCCATTTTTGCATGCTGGTAACTTATGAGTAGAGAAACTAGAGATATGTGGCTACTCCCTGCTTCTTGCCACGTGAAGCCCTGTGTCAACTTGGGACTACAATAGCAAGAAGGCCATCACCAGATGCCCCTTTCCAACCATGGACTCCAAACTTCTCTTTTTTCTAGCTTACCCAGTCTGTTGTACTATACTCTTAGAAATAAAAAAAAAAAATTGACTGAGGCAATTGATCAAAGAGATGGACATATAATTAAGGGAGAGTGAGACAGAAGAAGCCAAGAGACATCAAAATTCTGAGGAAGAAGTCATCTAAATTTTTATATGCTATAAAGTGGTATGAATACCAGTCAACTTGACAGGAACAGTTTTAGAGGGAGAAGGAGAACAAGAACAGTACTAGGTGGAAAAGCAAATAGTAATAAGCAAAGGGAACAAGGCATTCTTTCAGACAAAATGTAGAAGAGAGAATTTTTGAATGGGGATTGTCAAAATTATTTAATTTCCCAATGGGAGACTTGCATATTATATGTCAAAGAAAAATCCAATAAAGATGGAGTTTAAAGACATGAGAAAAAAAATCAATATGATCTCCACTCAAGCCCAATTGTCCCATTTCTACTACAGCTTATTCTTCCCCATTCACTTTATGAAGACTATCTATGCAGTTGTCTTGATTTATTCCTGTCCTAATATTTTCACTGATCTGTTGCACAGTTTCCAACAAGCACTAATTCTGAAATCAACAACAGCTATCTTTTTTGAGTTTTATACTGTAATCAATACTTGAAAATTGTCTTTATTATAATTTACAAACTAACCAAGAAAAGGATTCCCTCATATGCATACATAGTTAATGTAACAGAAACCAGAAATAGTCTGTTGAGTGGTGGCAAGCCCAACTGAGCTGAGGGGTCAGATTCTCACCCATTTTCTGGCTGTTTGCTGGAAAGGGGAAGGTAATCTCGAGTTTCTCAAAGTTGGTGAATACTCCTTTATACTTTTTTTTTCCTCATTTGGATGTGCCAGGTGTGATGTATACCCAGCAGCCTACATTACTTTAGAACAAGAATAAATTAGCATTTCCCTCAACATCTTTTTGTCCTTGCCTCTATTCATAGAACAGAAAGGCCAAAAGACAGGAGTCACCTAATGGAGAGAGCAAGCTGAAATTAAAAGGACATTTAAAATAGAACTTTGGAGGCAAGAGTGGTATTGATGATGGAAATTTTGGAAACTGGCATAACCATAGCCATGCAATGAAAAGATGACATTCACAAGAGACCATCTGTTGATGTTTGAGCTATAGGGGAAGTCAGGACGGGAGTGTGAGAAATAGAAAATCCCAGTGGTCCATTTTCCCAATACAATATTTAGCTTTACATGTAAAATTACCTAGGATGTAACAAGGTGGTTGAGGAGAGAGAAGAATGGAAAACTACAAGCACAGTTTAAAAATTCACAGCCCCTTTTGACAAACAGGTGAGAAGAACACCCCCCCCCCACACACACACTCCTGACCAACAAAAATAAACTGTGTATATGCCAAAAGCCACTCAATCCAAGGGGACAACTAAAGGTATATTTATTTAAATAACCCAATAGGGGACAGTAAAACCTAGGTGATGTTCAGGAAGACTGTACACCCCATAATACTCAGCCAAGGAGAAACACAGGGAGGGACCTTGCACTTTAGGGGGTAAAAGGCTGTACCCAATCTATGTGTTCCTGAGCACCAGGCACCTACCTTACAAGACTGTCATTAAAGTAAAGCCTCACTTTTTGCTGTACCTGTGTCTCTTACTCCATTCATTGGGCTTGGATAGGTAAGTGTGTCTCTCACAGGAGGCAAGAAGAGAGTATTTCATTCTGATGGAGATTTGAACAAATTACCTAGAAGTCAAAAGCTGTCTTAAAAGAGCTATGGTACATCTTATAAATTGCATTAGATTCTCAGGTACCACAAATTAAAACTCTACAACTACAAATAGAGTTTTGACAAAAAACACTCTTATGATTTTTAAAACTAGTTATCAAAAACTGAAAAGGACCTAAAGAAAGGACCTAGAACATTCCATTTCTCTGTAGTTTAAAATACTACTCTGAAGGCCTACTTATGCATTTCCTGAGAGCGCTTTACTTAATAGCCTCCTAGAATACTATGACTCTCTATAAAAGGCCTTTTCAGAAGAGGATATACAATCAATCAACATACATATAAAAAATGTTCAATATCTTTAGCAATTAGAGAAGTGCAAATCAAAACTACTTTAAGATTTCATCTCACTCCAGTCAGAGTGGAAACTATCAAGAATACAAACAATAATAAGTGTTGGCAAGGATGTGGCGGAAAAGGCACACTCATACATTGCTGGTGGGACTGCAAATTGGTGCAACCAATATGGAAAGCAGTATGGATATTCCTTAAAAAACTTGGAATGGAGCCACCATTTGACCGGGCTATCCCACTTCTCAGTTTGTACCCAAATGACTTAAAAACAGCATACTACAGGGACACAGCCACATCAATGTTTATAGCAGCACAATTCACAATAGCTAAACTGTGGAACCACCCAGATGCCCTTCAGTAGATGAATGGATAGGGAAACTTTGGTATATTTACAAATAGAACATTACTCAGTATTAAAAGAGAATTAAAATCATGACATTTGCAGGTAAATGGGTGGAGTTGGAGAATATAATGCTAAGTGAAGAAAGCCAACAGCCCCAAACCAAAGGCTGAATGTTTTATATGATATGAGGATGCTGACTCATAATAGCGATGGGGGTTGTGGCGGGGAGATAGAGCATGGGAGGAATGGAGGAACTTTAGATAGGGCAAAGGGGAGGGAGGGGGGAGTAGGAAAGACAGTGGAATCAGTTAGACGTCATTACCCTAAGTACATGTATGAAGACACGAATGGTGTGAAAATACTTTGTGTACAACCAGTGACTTGAAAAATTGTGCTTTATATGTATAACATAAAATGAATTGCGTTCTGCCATCGTGTATAACAAATTAGAATAAGTAAATAATTTAATAAAGGAAAAAAAAGGCCCTTCAATGTTTCTCACACATATCTGACCTTAAACTGTAAAGGTCTAGAATATTTTTCTTGTATTGTTGGTTGAAAGACAAGACTCTTCCAAGGACAGTGTGATATTAAAAGTGTAACAACAACCCTTTGGGGTTTATTAATCATCAGTTACATTCTATCTCCATGTCATGCTCATGAATAAAATGATCTTAGTATAAACGATCCTACTTTGGGATTTAAAATGTAAACTGTCCAATATTCAGACCATGCTAAAGTCACTCCACAATTTGACCACTGAAACTGAGTGCAGTTTTGTGGTATCTCTAGTCTTTTCTTTGGAGGTTAGGTGTGTTTTATATCTCTCATCTTCTCATTCAATGAGGAGTAGTCTGCACATCCTTTATGCTTGAAACCAGCCAAAATATAAACTTTTCTTTTCATAAATATCAAAATTCCTTATATTGGGAAGAGAAAAAGATATAGAAAAGAATAAATAAAAGGATGCATTTAAATTGTATTTCCTTTGACTCTCTCATAAACTCACTTAAAAACTTGGACCTTCTAAAGAAAGATGATTTTCTTATAAATTTTGAAAATATGTCCTTACCTCAGAATGCTCACCCAGTAAGCAAATCAAGAGTACATTTTCCAATGAATGAGTTTCTCTGAAAACACAAAATTTT